AAATGTTGTTTCATAGCTTGGACCTCTCTGCAGATTTCTTTAACGTAACTATCAATGACTCTTCCTTCTTAATTCCTTACCAATCTAAATACTCAGTTATCGACAAATTGAATGTGATTATTTCAATTTTCTGTTTTAAAAAAACAGTTAATGTTGTTAAGTAACAAGAACATCCTCACATGCCAGATATTTTGCAGATTCTGAATACTGAAAAAACAATGAACTGACAGATTTACTGTACTCATAAATCTTGCACTGTTCATTAAATGAGCCTGAAGGTCCTTGTCCTCCAAACATTTATCGGCTTGTTTAAAATAAAATGTGTATTTACTAGGGTTTGTAAATACAAAGAAGAGTCTAATGCGACACTAGGATCTTAACTCAGAGTTTAATGGATGCATTTTTTTCCATCTGTAATCTCCACATATAAAGTAGACAAAGCAGTAGTAAAGGGTGATATATTTAGGTAAAACTAGCGATATATCTCCACGACCAAATTCAGGGCATTTTAGGCATGTAATTTAGCTGCAACTCAAAGGACCTGTGGTAGAAATGTAAGTTTCTTCTATAGCTAATTGAGTTTAGACAAGGACCTCCATTAGGACCGTTAGTTGTCTGGTCTGGCCTAAAGCAGACAGTGTGCGTAACTCTCTGCATGTAGCTTAAAAACCAATCCAGCGGCATTTATAACTGAAGAGGTCAAATTACTCATATTGCTAAAGTACATCTTAATCTGGTTATCTAGAAATAGCAATGGAAAAATGGATGTTATCAGTGGAGAAACTTAGGGTCAATTGGGAAAATCAGACATCATAGAGAGTCATACATTTAAAAAGAAATCCACAGATCAAACTTAAGATTGCTACACAGTGAAATATGCATTTCTTTGTACCCGTGAATAATATTCTTGTTTATTAAGTAGGCAGAGCAAGATTTATTATGTCCTTAACTTCTCATTTCTTTGCTTGTAAGAGCTTGCATTTTGTAAATTACATTGTAGGAGACTACGCTGTTGTCACCTAGCAACTACGAAGTATTTTTTGAAAAAGTTGCTGCTTGGATTTGGATTAATAATAAAAATAGTAATTCCACTCAATACTTCACATTTGTAGATCTTAAAGTACTTACAAAGATGCCTTATTTTTACTATCCTTAATTGGAAGCATGAAAATCTAGGATGTAAAGTGTGTTGCCAAAAATGGCAAACAGAGCTACAAATTGTGTCCTGAAGATCTCAGGCTATTCTCCACATTCCAGCCTCTTCAAACTGTACTTTTATACAGGTCCCTTCCAATATTTTCTGGTCTTATTAATTTTAAATGAGGAAAGGGAATAATTTAAAAAATCTGTATTTGCAATTATTATCTCCCCCTCTCATTTGAGATATTGCAGTTATTTTCTAGTCTGAGGGTCACAGTGAATTAGCCCTTGGCAAATATTTAATTTTTAATGGAAACCACTGCAGCATTGAGTTAAAGCAAGCAAAAGCTTCACATTCATGCTAAGATGATCCTGCTGCTGCAGCGCTGACCAGTTCCCATGTTGCATATACAGCAGTTCTGTATCATTCAGTTTCTTTCAGAAACTGTTTTATCCTGATTATTGAAATATTTTCTAATAACAGAATGACAGTTGACGATGCATACTGAAATGTCTGCTGAAACAACAGTTGGCTTGAAAAGTGTTTCATTTTTCAAGTAGATCATGGAGGCTGGGTAGCCAAGGTTTTGCGTGATTTGAGTTAAAGAAATGCTTATTTTAAATTATTTGAGAAATGTCCTACACTCATTTTCAGTCCTCCATTGCCCTTGCCAGACATTTGGTGGAATGAAGCTGTTTGGGGGCATATTTCTTCCTAATAGTCCACATTTTTAAGAAACTTCTAAGGATGAATTAGAATGAATAGCTGCTAAGATAATGTGTGGGCTGCTGTGCAGCAGTCTCCCTGGAGAGTGATATGTCAGGAAAGACATTAAAAAATTTTCTGTAATGAAATGTGTATTTCTCACAAGTAAGGAAAGATCTTGACAGATCATCTGTTAGGAGGTATCTGCTCTGTTCTTTACTTGCGGGACAAATGGGATTTCTCCTTATAATTCATTGTGGATTATCGTTCTGTTGCGGTTTGTGTAATGGCAGCACATGGGGAATTTAGGAAATGACACTCCAGCTGTCTTTTACAATAACTGTTTCTTTTTATGCTTTTGCACTGTAATACCTCTTCCTTCAAATTATCTTTTCTGTACACTTCTCCCTGAAATACCTGTGTGTATCCCAAAATGAATTAAAAAGAAAAATGGATCTACATAAATTATGTCTATTTTCCCTATGTGATAGGTTTTATTTCATTCACTAATTTATTGATAAAAACCCAAAGAAAATTATATATCTGGAGTTCTTTTCCTATAATACATTTTTAATAGAGAAAGTGAAGTCAATATGCAGCAGCTGGAAACGTAAATCTGTCTCCTGGTTTTCGTTATTGTGTGAGGTTTGATATATATGTATTCTAAAGAATAGAATTATCTATGTTGCAGATACATTATTAGGAGATATTTTATCTTTAAGGCTCATTAAGCTTATCATTGTTTTCAGAAGTTTCAAACAGGTGGGAGAAATTGAACCCGTACATTAGCAGATGAGAAGCAGACAAGCTGTCCAAACCAGTACATTGCCTATTGTATATCTTCCCTGAATTCAATACCGTGCAAATCTTTCCCAGTTGTCTCCAGAGGTTTCCTTTAATCGATCGGTTTAAAGCAATTTTGTAAAAGTTCAATAGTGGGACAGGGCGAAGCAAGAAGTCCCTAGGAGTATATTTGGGTCCTCCATATTTCAAGGTGTAGGCTTGGAAGCTGTATCGGCAGGACTCTTTCTCTGTAACAGCACATGTAATGCTTAGTGAATTAAACCCAAAACCGCTTGCTGGGTAATGTCTTATGGATCAATTCTATGAACTAGTCTCTAGCAGAAGGACTGTAAGAAAACTAGAATTCTCTGTAGTCTGTCTAGCTGCCTGAAACAAAAAATCCTGAGGAAGAGACCAGGTCAAGTTTCAGATCGGATGAATGATTAGTTTGTTCTGCCTTTGGAGCTTTGTTGCTGAACACTTCCATCTCTGTTTTGCCTTTAACTATGTTTAATTGTTCATCATCCAGTGTTGTCTGAGAGTAAGTGTGAACTTTGCAAGAAATTCAAACATAGGTCCTTGCCCATGGAGAGCAATTCCTTATGCAGTTCAGTGTGGCTTATTACAAAAGTATTTTCCGTCCAGCCTGAGTTGAGAGTGCTCTGGAGTGGGAGGGCTTGCTTGCTTTAGATGCCGTTGGCAGATATATAATCAGATAATGATTGGCGCCTTTTTGGCAAACAGCCACAAAGCTGTAAATCACCTTAAGATTTACAGGGTTCCACTTCTCTATCCTGACAGCAATCCGCATTTCTCAGAGCTGTACCCAATGATGGTACACCATGATTAAGGAGAAACTGATTTATATTAGTGGGTTTTAATCATTTCAATTTGCAAACCTTTAAAAATTTTCTAAGGAAGTGTGGAGAGATGAAGGACAAACAAATTGAATCCTTTTGACAAGGCTTCTGTTTCTTAAGTTATTATTTACAAACTTTTTAGAAATAATCCATGTATTCCCAAGAGTTTCCATATCATAAGTTGGAAACTAGCACTCTAGTGAACTTATTAAAGTAAAACTCATTTTAGACACTGAATGCCCCTGTGTTCCATGACTTCAGCAAGAGATCAAGGGTTTATTTTGACTTTTATGCTGTTTGCTAATGGAAATCATTGGGATTTGAACAACAATGCATTTGAAGTACGAGGGCAAAGGACACTAATGGTTGTCCATTTAATGGGCATTATCTATTTTAAATGACTCTGAATGTGTTGAGGTCTTGCGAGAGATACAAACTTCCCGAGGTTCTCCCTGTTTAGTTTGGGACTTAGCCCTTTTTAGCTTGTTACCAGAAAAGCAAATCATGTACCTTCATGTCCCTCTTGAATCAAAAGATTTAATCTACTGATCATTCTAGTAAAAAGATCAAAACATGAGTTAAGACCGGCCATTGTCCTGATAAAATTCCACTGGTTTGTTTGGCAACTAAATATTTTTAACACAAGATGAATACTCCAATACAAAATGATAAAATGCATCTACATTGTATGACTTACAGATACAGTGCGTAAATTAAGAAATTGTGCAAATGCTCTTTTAGACCACAGAATGCACAGGGCAGATAGGACATAACAACTTGCTTGCTGCCCTTTTGGCAGCTTGTGTATTGTATTAATGTAAAAATATATTTTTAGCACCTTCAACTTTCTCATTTACATTAAATTTATTAACTACAGCACAGAGGTTGGGTGAATATTAGATTATATCTTTCACAAAATCACATTATTTTTATTCTCTGACAAAATAATGATCTCGGTGGTATCATAAATTCTGTTTAAAAAAAAAGATGCATGCTAGTTGAATCCAGATTTTTTTAAATGCCTATATATGTTTAGACCCATGAGGTCATCTGCCAAGAAGTAACTGAAACTTGCGGATATGTCAAAAATAAAACGTGTTAGTACAGTGTGTAATTCTGCACTCAAATGCTGGAGCAACTCCAACATTGATGATGAAGCTCCTTCAGCTTCATGTGTGTGTATGAGAACTATGCAGAGAATCTGGATAGCACAAATGAAGGACTCTCAGTGTTGCAAGCATGCAACTTTGGAAAGGTTTAGTAGCACTTGACGTGCAAATAATTCTTCTTGCTGTTACACAGATAATCTCATGTCAAATCTGAGATAACATCTGGAGCTATGCATAAATACCATTTAAAGAGGAGACTCATATTTTTGCTCAATAAAAGAATCAGTTAAATGACACTTTAACAACAATACCCACAAGTACTGTTTGCCTTTCTCCTTGGTTTATCTGTAAGGTAACTGTTGCTGCATGCTTTTCTTAATGTCACTTTCTTTCCTTTTTTAGAGTTTCTTTGAAGGACAGTCCGCACCGTGGGATTCAGCTAAGAAAGATGAGAACAGAATGAAAAATAGATATGGGAATATCATTGCATGTAAGTGTTGACAACATAATTGTGCACTGTGTTAACTTCCCTTCAGAACTGGAGAATGACCACCAGCCTCGTGCTCACATCAGGCTTATATTCCTCTTTGTCATTAAGAAGATAAACGTGAGGGAAGATGTTACTTTTTTTTTTTTTTTTTTGAGAAAACTGTCAGATTTAATGCATTTTCTCAACTAGTCTTCTGTATACCTTCCATCCTGTCATCAACGTTTGGCTAATGGAGAATGACACTTTTAACCAATACTCGGTTCTATCAGCTCCCAAGCTGCTCCTGGCAGCTTAGTGAAAGAATACCCATAATCACATCGGTACCTTGATACTGGGTTCTGGATATTGCAGGAGTGCACAATACTGCTGCTTAAGTATTCCTTAATAACAATGACAGCTATCCTGACTTACCCTCTTAAAGCTAGACAGACTCTAAGAAAAAAACAGAATCTGTACATTTTACTTAAAAATGCCAAGCTTGATAAAGATTAGATATACTAATAATCAAATAACTTGAGGAGATGATAGCATGCTTTGGTGAATGACCCCTAAATCTGGCATTATGAGATTACAAAACGATGCTGCACATGAACATGGGGGCACAAACTATATCAAGTTTGGTAAAATTACATTATTATTTACACACTGGTGGTGTTGCACTTAGAGGGTAAGTTCCCAGTGTGTATGTAGAGATGATCCCTTCCCTGATTGTTCCTTCAAAATCTAAGTTTAAGATATGAATCATACGTGTTTCTGCCAGCCAGCCAGATAACCATGAAGCAGGTATAAGCAGAGAAATAAGCAGCACTCACAGCATGTCAGTTTTGTAAGCATGAAAATGGGCGATGGCCTTTAAGGAGGGATCATTTAATGATACTGCTGGAGTTTAGAAATCATGTATAACCCTAGGTATGTGGGACAGCATAGAAGAATAAACAGTGCTGATTGTCTGAACATTTGGAGGACCCATGGAAGGAGTATGTAGTGCATATTTACAGTGCCTAACATCAGCACCTAGTCTAGGTGCTTGTCCAGGCACAGATCTACCTAGGTTTCCTCATCAGTGAACCACGTGGACTTGACAGAGGACAGCTCTTCCAGAGAAATGGTTCAGAAATCGGGCCCATTTGAATGCTTCTGAATCACCACCTCAGGAGGCCCTCTCTGCAGTGCTTGCATAACAAGTCTAGAGAGACCAACTCCTAACTTAGTGACCTACAGTAGGTGGTATGAATAGGCCCTTACATCACTGTGGCCCAGCTGGGCTGAGACAGCCTACAAAGAGAAAACAGCCCTGTAACTTGCTGCAGAAGGAGGAGGAGAACCCACAGGAAACACTTGTGGAGGCAGAGGCAAGTTAAGCAAGAGATGCTATCTGCCACATCATTTTGAATGTACGTGATAGTATTGCTGTGTATTTTGGATGTATACTGTGCTACTTACTGAAAAAGGAAATGAAATCTTCTAGGGAAATGTGAATATCATGATGGGCTGGAGCATATGCAAAAGAAGATAAGTTAGCTAGATGTGGTTTTGCTTGTTTCCCTCCAAGCAATCTTTAATATGTAACAAACTTGTTATTTTGTGAGGATGTAGCAATACATTAGATGACTATTGTCATTTAAGTAAAAATACCGAAGGCATAAATAAGAATACCAAAAAGTTTTATGTTTATCCTTCCTTTGTGAAATTTTATTTCCAGTCCAAGCCTATGACAATAGATCTTCTCTTTTAGTCAGGTTTAGTGTTGTCAGTCCCCTCTTTAATGTCATGTTAGGTGTCGCGTTGCACTTTGACACCCTTTGGTTAGAGAAAACAGAAGACTACTAGTGCTGTATGTCTGAGGTAAAGAAGTGATGAGTAGCCAAGGGAAAACAAGTAAAAGATATTAGATACACAAATCAATGGCAATTACAAGTGATACTGAAGGCTTTCTGAGAGGGCAAATATAACTCAGATCATTTAGATCTCAATTTACTTTTAATGTCCTCAGTAT